AACAGCAAAAATTATCAGGAATTGGATTCTGTCCCAGACATGTCTGGCAACTGCAGCACATTCATACAGCAGCATTCCTAATCCTAATAAATGGCAAATATGAAGTAATTGGTAGGCTTCCATGTAGGTTCAACAAAACCTTGCTATTTCTTCAACGCATGATCTTTGTCAATTCTTTCTACTTACTACTGAAACTGAGCAGAGGCACAAAGAAGCTTCCTGGAAGCTTCCAAGTTTATCACAGCAGCTGTGTGCCAAGAGACTTGTCTCTCAAGAGGTCCACGAGAAGGAAGGAAAATAAACTAAAATTCAAACCACTGCCTGTACAATGATGCACAAACAACATGACTTGGAATAGAGCATTAAAAATCTAACTCTAGCTAGCACTCGAAATTAAATGTACCAACAAAAGCCCCTAATGCTGCTTTGAAATCCATATTCAATATAGAAAATCTAGGCAGTGAAAACAGTAATTTCTGCAACTAGCTCAAGAGAAAACAGGAAGCAAAGCACAAAGAGAGAGTTTCAAATGCTGCCCTTTGAAATCCTACCACCAGGATGGGTAAAAAACCCCTTATTTGGAACTAATCCCAGTACATGTCAGTATTTTCCATTTGAAAATGTGAATGTTTTGGGGTTTCTTTTAAATGTTACCCATCTTCGTATGCATCTGTCACAGGTACTGATGTGACCCTGTCTCATAACCACAGACAGCACAAGGAAAAGCCAGCAACAAAACCCCTGCAGAACTGAGGGACTCTGAGAAGTACTTCAGTGTCATGAAGAACTGCTGTGATGAAGAGATGACATGTTCAGTCACCAGACAACCACAGAGAAGACAGCAAAGCCCCAAGACTCCCGACTGAATTTCCACTAGAGGGTGCACAAAGCCCATCTCATACAGCAACGACCAAGGTCAGCATCACTTCTCCAGCCACAGAAGCTCCTCCGAAGCGGTGACTCTTCCAAAACAGGTACAGATGGTCAGAAAGAACTTTTGGTTAGTTGTTTTTGCCTTCCTTGTTTTGTGTTTTGTCCTATTTTGAGATGGTAAATCATAACCTTAAGTTCCTCCTACAAGGCCAACTAAACCACTGCTGCTAATCATGTTTTAAATCACCATTAAGCTGCCAACGTCAAACACCCCATGAATGTCATGCCTTACGTCTCATCACTACCCTATTCCTATCAGTTTTCTCCACTTATTTTTCCTGTCTCAAATGTGCAAGACAATTTTCAACTACTTTGCACAAACAGCCTCTCACTGTAAATAACAAAATCTTTGCTAAAGTAACTCAAGCAACAAAGAAAACTGAAAAATAAATAAAGAGTAAAAATAGCTTAAGGTTAAAGCTGCTGGGAGAGAACACACCACTGAAGATGGGCTGTGTTCAGCGTAAGGAGACCTCTACTTTCCTTAAGGTAATATCATAGAATCAGAGTTGTCTGGGTTGGAAGGGAGCTTAAAGCTCCTCCAGCTCCAACCTCCTTTCCACAGGCAGGCACCCCTTCCACCAGAGCAGGTTGCTCCAAGCCCCTGTGTCCAACCTGGCCTTGAACACTGCCAGGGATGGGGCAGCCACAGCTTCTCTGGGCACCCTGTGCCAGCGCCTCAGCACCCTCACAGGGAAGAGCTGCTGCCTCAGAGCTCATCTCAATCTCCTCTCTGGCAGGTTCAAGCCATTCCCCTTGTTCTGTCATTATAGATGTTAGTACAACAAACCATATCCCTAAAACCAAGCACTCTCTGTAACTAAACAATAACGAATACTTGCAAAACTGGCAAGTACCTGAGCCCTGAGACATCAGTGGTGATTTCGGGAGCCAGCTACAGTATTGTGTGAGAAATGAATAAAGATCTCTTTACCATCCTGGAAGACTCTCTCCACATTGAGCCCGTACGTAGCACAGGTTTCATAGTAAGTGCATCTCTTCAGATCATTCGACAACTTCCTTGCTCTGGCATCGTCTATGACACGTGGATTACTGGAACTGATGGCATCTACAGCAACAACAGGAAAAAAATACAGCTTTCAATGTCATTTGAAAGCATTATCTGAAAATGACCAACACCCAAGCAGTGAATGCAAGTACAAACCATAAGACTTTCCCAACTTTCTAGGAAACAACAGGGGTGCACATCCCTCATTTCATACTTTGTTACGAAATTCAACAGCACACGGACTGACTCTCAAAAACAAGAAAAACCTAAAATGCTTTTGGGTACCTCGAACGTGTATTTAGGTCAGTAGTTGCAAAAAGTAATCACATCAGAGAACATGAGCTCTTCAGTATGTAAAACATACTTAAAGAAAGAAGTGAGTGATTATTATGAGCATTGAATCATAGAATCCCAGAACGGTTTGTGTTGAAAGGGACCTTAAAGCTCACCCAGTTCCAACCCCTGCCACGGGCAGGGACACCTTCCACTAGAGCAGGTTGCTCCAAACCCATCCAACCATTTTACCTATGTCTGATCTCAGTCTCCCCTCTGGCAGGTTCAAGCCATTCCCCTTGTCCTGTCCCTCCATCCCTTGTCCAAAGCCCCTCTCCAGGTTTCCTGGAGCCCCTTTAGGCACTGGAGCTGCTCTAAGGTGTCCCCTTCAGGAGCTTTCTCTTCTCCAGCTGCCCCAGCCCAGCTCTCTCAGCCTGGCTCCAGAGCAGAGCTGCTCCAGCCCTTGCAGCATCCTCAAATGATGTCAAATGACTTTTAGGTCTCCTATAAATATCAGCATTGGCTGACCAGTAACCCTCACCTGTAGAATGTGGAGCACAAAATATGACACGTTTCTAAGGACAAGAACAGGATGGGGGGAGAACCTGTACCAGGTATTACTGCAGCACTTGGGGACAGTGGTAAGATCTGCACACAAGAGATGCTTTTCTTGATAAAACCCAAGCCAACACTAAGACTCAGCATTTTGTACTTATTGTAAATAACTGAGCCTCAAACCTTGCTGTAAAGGCACCCATGAGACATGGTGTCAACACACCGCAAGCCAGTAAAAATGGTATTTATCTAAACAAGTAATAACCCCTCATACCTTGCTGCAAGAGGTACTTCTCATGCATGCTTTTTAAGTCCACTTTCAAGCTTATCCAAAGGAGCTGAAAAACACACTTTCCACCAGAAGAAAATAACAACCCTGCTAACAGATGAACGAGTTTCTTCATTGCTTCTCCACCACAGCAAAGAACTCTCGAGAGCTTCTACTGCTTCACAGTACGTGAAGGATACTGTGCTTCATTCAGTGCTCATTCAGTGACAATGCTATGAACATACCTGAAGCAGCAACATTTTTTGTTCTGGTGGTGTTATGGTTAATTCTTAGCTCTGGGAACAATAGATCTTAAAGTGAGACAGCAGTGCAACCCCTTCTGCAACACTGCGTAGCTCCCACCTCTCCACCACAACAAGCACTGGCTTCAGCATTTCGAGCTGCTCAGGAAAATTTGCCTAACTATCTGCTATTGTCCCAGGCAGCAAAACTACATTTGTTATTTGGAGGAAAAGAAAGCCTCATGTGAGCATGAAGTCAGTGAGTAATGCAGTGCTGCACCTCAGGCTCTACTGTGGCATGACATGACCATAGCTCAAGTGATGTTCTCGCTACCTTCACATGAGATCTTACACGTTAAACCAGAGCAGCTCCTTGGAAAGCTAACGACAGTCTGATTTAATTCGTTAATCAGCAGAGGGCGCTGAGAACATTTAACCGGGATGGAACTGAGGAGCATCCTTAGATTCCTGAAGCACACGCAGTGCTACAGCCTGGCCCACCATAGGATAAAGAGGCAGAGGAGAATGTCTGGAATCCCAGACTGGTTTGGGTTGGAAAGCATCTTAAAGCTCTTCCAGTGCCAAACCCCTGCCATGGGCAGGGACAGCTTCCACTAGAGCAGGTTGCCCCAAGCCCCATCGAACTTAGCATCAGGCAAGTGCTAACATTTTGGGAGAGATTCCATTCCACAGCTCATTTCCAATCAAAACCAACAAGCTGGATGTCAAACAGGTACATTTCAAACACATTTTTCATAAGTAGATGTATGTATTTCATTTCCCTGCCCTGTTTGACAGTTCATGAAGCCAAAAACCTGTCTTGCTCTTGATGCTTACTCCCAGAATTAGAACTATTTCCATCTTTAGTTTAAGTGAGTCCAGAGGAGGCCCCGGAGCTGCTGCGAGGGCTGGAGCAGCTCTGCTCTGGAGCCAGGCTGAGAGAGCTGGGCTGGGGCAGCTGGAGAAGAGAAGGCTCCTGAAGGGGACACCTTAGAGCAGCTCCAGTGAAAAAAATCCCTTCCACATCAGTGCTGTAACAGAAAAATAACTTTAAAACCCAAATTCCTTTCTCAGAATAATGGGGCTAAGGCTGCAAATCCCAGTGTCGGAAGTGCAGAAGTAAAAGGGAAACATGTCCCCCTCTCTTTTTTTAACTCCAGTTTTGAGCCGACAGTGTGGCCCCTTCAAAGCAGCTCGTTTCTGCTTTCTGGCTGTAGTTTCTGCTATCCTAGGACTTTCTGTGTCCCTGCTTCCCTTTTCATTTCTTTATCATCTGTTTCCGCCCTACAGCCTGGTTGTGATTCCTCCTTCTGTGCTCTCCACACTTCCCCTGCCTTCATGTGGCAGCTTGGCAGGCAGGCAGGGGAAAGCAAACTGCTCTCTGACCACAAGTCTGACAAAAGAATAAGCTGAGAGAGCATTGAAAAGCTTCAACATCCCCAAAAACGGTGGGATACACTGAAAAGGAAGATGCCCAAAAGCAAACCTACAGGGGCAACTCATGACATTAATGTGATGCACTGGCAAACCAAGGCAGGTGTCGTGGTTTAACATCCAAAAGACAGCCCAGACACCAAAGAAACTGAAATCTTACTGGTACTTTTCCCTTGCCACATTTCCCCATAGGACAGCTGTGGCTTGCTGCTGCTCCACAAGAGGGTTTGTTTGGGAAGAGAGAAGCAGGATGTGTGTGTTTCAGGTGGCAAAACACCGCCACTGTATTCCTATTGGATTTAAAGGGTGGTTGGAGATACTGATCAGGGGCATGGTTCACATCTGCTTCTTAACAGACTGTTGAAGTATTCTGATCTCTGATCCACTTGCTCTTAGGAATGCCAGGATATTGATCACTTCTGGACTATGAAGCTGAACTGGTTTGACTTGCAGAACTTTGTCACACTGCTGATTCACCTGCCCAAATTCAACATTAACACCTCCCTGTGGATCCAGGAAACAACTGGGACTATAGCAAGCACTGAAAAGATTTCGTTGGAATACTCTTTGAAATAATCCCTCTCCCCAAAGGTGCTGTGGGGATATATGTCCTCTCCCACCTCAAATCAGTCCTTGCAGTGCCACAGCCCTGCAGCAAAGCAGCTGAGGAAGCCCAATGGGCACAACACCCCCTTGCTGATGAGCAGCCAGTTTACCCACAGGCTCTCATCATCACATGAGTGGCAACAAGAAAGGGAAAGGACAGGACATGGCTTTGCCAGCTTGGAATAGAAATACACTCATAAATCAAGGCTGCACTTACCCTGGGTTCCCACTAGTACCATTGGGATTTCACTAGTGTTCCGATAGTTAGCCATACGGCTGTAGTAGTGGTAAACAGTCTGGAAGCTAATTTCATCTTCCAAGCTGAAGACAAATATAACAGCATCCACCCACATGGCAAACTGCAGAATACAAATGGAAAAGGCATACTGTGAGAAAGCAGTGAGGAGGAAAACAGAAACATCCTTACCTTACCCGGAGGGAAACACACATCAGAGGGACTTCGTGACAATAAGCAAGGCCTTAGACGTGGCAAGTGACAATAAGCAAGGCCTCAGACGTGGCAAACAGTTCTAAAAGGATGAGTCTCATCACTCTGCAAGTGATGGGGATCTGGGATACGCAAAGGTTTTTCCCCACACCCACAATTCATCTCTCCTTCACGGGTATATGATTTTACAAGCCCAATTACTATCAGTACATATTGAGTTTGATTCACTGAAAAAGAAAACATTGCAGCCACAGATTTCTGAATTTGTGACTTTTAAATGAGGAACACTTATCTCTGGGCACTGGACTGAGTGCCCCATTCAGTGTGTTATCTCCCCACCCTGTGATTTACATGCAGACACGATGATGTTCCGCTGAATGCCCAGACAAGTGCAACGGTGGTGGTCTTGCAGCACTGTTAGTAATTCTCACATCTTGATCCATGTCCAAAAAACATTAGTTTCAGATTTCTAATTCAACAAACAGCACTGAGCATCTTGATCAGCTTTCAGAGTGAAAGTAAACTATTGTCTTCTGGCATCAGTAATATACAAAGGCTAAAGCAAGGCACTCCTTACGTGACCATGCAAATGAAAAAGTGTTAGCTCACAAGTGAAATCACACAATCCCAGCCTGGTTTGAATTGAAGGGACCTTAAAGCTCCTCCAGTCTCAACCCCTGCCATGGGCAGGGACACCTTCCACTAGAGCAGGTTGCTCCAAGCCCCTGTGTCCAACCTGGCCTTGAACACTGCCAGGGATGGGGCAGCCACAGCTTCTCTGGGCACCCTGTGCCAGCGCCTCAGCACCCTCACAGGGAAGAGCTTCTGCCTCAGAGCTCATCTCAGTCTCCCCTCTGGCAGGTTCAAGCCATTCCCCTTGTCCTGTCCCTCCATCCCTTGTCCAAAGCCCCTCTCCAGGTTTCCTGGAGCCCCTTTAGGCACTGGAGCTGCTCTAAGGTCTCCCTTTAAGAAGCCTTCTCTTCTCCAGGCTGAACAAGCCCAACAAATAAGATTGTTTAAACACATTTACCATAGCAGGAAATGCATCAAAAAAGGACTGAAGTTAAGCTTATGTCACTGCCTTTGCTTTTCCCTAAGTAGCTCCATTGCTACCCAAATTTAGACCAATGGAAACAACCTTTGGCCATTTGTATTCACACTCTTCATTGTATTACTACTATAATACATCAAGTAGGTTGGGGACACACTGAACACACAGAGAGCTGCAAGGAGGTTCCACTGGGAAATAACCTGCTGAGTTTTACACCACTACCTTAGCTTTGTAAGCACTTCCTTCAGCCCTACAAACTCTTGCAGTTTTCTCTCTGCTGTTGCAGTATTTAAACTGCTTCCCTCACTAGTCTGTAGATTCACATGTTCTCAGTTTTCATAAGGCATCCCAAGCTGGCATATGCAAAGGGAAGCTAAAGAAGAGCCAACAGTATGAAGCTGTAAAGCTCCTTCCGTACTCAAGTTGCTGACCCCATTACAGTTTCCTTTTTCAGAGTCAGGAGCTAGTAGTACTTCTTGCCTGTTTTTCATGCAGCAAATAGGCTGATAATTTAAGTTCATGTGCGTATTCATGACTATATTGTACTTGAAACCAAACATCACCACTGCATCTCTTATGGCCGGAGGGTAAAACCAAGCAAAAATGGTTTGAGGTTTCCAAGACAGAAATGGTTTTGAGGTTTCAGGAGGACAATCTTCTAGATGGTGACAACAGGACTGCTTACACACAGCCGAGTCACTGCCAGAAGGTGGTCAATCACCACACTGTTAAATTGGAACTACTCAAACCAGAAGGTCTATCCAAAGGCACCGGAGACGGCATCATTGGGACGTGGGTTTGGGTCTTACTGTAGAAGGGTTCTCATTGACTGGACTCAGCAGCATCATGCCAAGAACTCTTCCTTACAGGCACAACATCCCTCCATTGGTTTGGAAGCTAACAGTCCCTCTAGATTTTCTTAATGTGTAGCAGCAGCCTCTTAATGAAGATTTTACAAGGTGTCCCTGCTTGTGGCAGGGGGTTGGAACTAGATGAGCTTCAAGGTCCCTTCTAACCCAAACCAAGCTGGGATTCTGGTATTCCTTTTTCATTATTCAGTTATACATATTCAAGAACCCGAAAGTAAACTTTTTATTGCAGGAATGAATAAACATTTTAAAGATCTTTAACGAAATAACACCTAAAAAATCCAAACATCATTTACACGTGAAACACATCTTCTGAAAGGTGAAACAGCACAAACGCCTCCAACCTTCCTGTCCTCATGATCTGCTGAAGAACAAATCTCAGCCACAACAGGAATTCAAACCCCCACATTTACCAAGCCTAGACAAAAAGCCAAACGACCTGTCTGTTATTAGTGTGCAGTTAGCTCAAACGAACTCTGCAAATCCCTTTCTTCAGGTATAAGAACACTGAGGTTACTGCGTGTACCTTTACAGCTCCACTATTTACGTTTTTAGATGAGTGAACGTTCTCTAAGCACCAGGGCCTAGAAACTGTTGTGCACTTCAGCCAAATTATTCACTGCCTCCAACAGAGCACTTCTTGTAGGCTCCTGCCTCACACAGCTGCAGATGTGTCAGCGACACTGATTTTTTGTTTTTCTTTTAACTTCCTTCCAGGATGTCTCTCTTGGTCTCCATTTCCTCCACCTCCTTTCTCTTCTGCTTTGTCCAGGCACCTTCCCCATGCTCTAATCCTCCTGTTGCTAACGAGCAATAGCGGAGCTTTGAAACACAAGCTGCTGCTGCTGGCACCGCTCCCGTTCAGCTGTTTGGCGACAGCACAGTTCCTGCTGCTACGTTTTATTTATTCATTTATTTCTTTCTTTTGGAAGCTCATCCACTACTGAGCAGCCGAGCAAAGCAAGGCCAGTGGCAGCCAGTGCACTTGAGGAACCTGCTAGTGCCCAGGTAAGAAGAGGTGGAAGGGAGGATGCCTGAAGACAAGGATGCTGCCTGCAGCAGGCTAGCACAGCTTGCACTGATTTAAGCATCACAAAAGCAAACGCTGCCCATCACTCCAAATAAAGTAACAGAGTTAAGCACACAAAATCACAAGCTCTTCCCAAGCCAAATCTTAATGAGTCACCTTCTATGAGACAAGGAGGTAACACATCTATAGAGAAACCAAGTTAGAAACCTGGTAACTCAGTGGTGCTGCACTGGAACTCACATAGTTCAGTCTTATATATAGCACAGGGAGCAAACTGTGGAAGCAACAGGGCATGCAAAGATCCAGACACAGGTACGTGTGTCACTGTGCATGCACCTTTTTTCCATTTTCATAACATGAATAGAATAGTTTGTGTTGGAAGGGACCTTATGATCACCCAGCTCCAACCCCTGCCACAGGCAGGGACACCTTCCACTAGAGCAGGTTGCTCCAAGCCCCTGTGTCCAACCTGGCCTTGAACACTGCCAGGGATGGGGCAGCCCCAGCTTCTCTGGGCACCCTGTGCCACGCCTCAGCACCCTCACAGGGAAGAGCTTCTGCCCAACAGCTCATCTCATCTCAGTCTCTGGCAGGTTCAAGCCATTAAACAATTGGCCGTTCAGCTTAAATCCATATTAATAATTTAGAGATTCTAACTCAGAAGAGAACTGACATCTGAAACATGGCATTTTGTCACTAGTGGAAGCATACGGGTTAGGCATTCAGTGTAAGTTAACTGTGCATCTTCACTCCAGTTTCACATGGTAACTGAAATTCCAAATCGTTTCTAAACAGAATACTTTTCACCTGAGGGCAACAGATAGATTCCACAGCAGAAAGATGAGAAGTCAGGAAAGAACAAACCAAAGCCAGTTCTCTGAAAGGAAGGAAACGGTGCTGTGAAGTGGATAAAGCTCTATATGCAATGCTCACCTGTGCCTCTGGAGGGCCACCTTCATCTCTAATCAGCAGCAGATAGCTCTGTCCATCAACTACTATCTCCTTCTTGAATCTCCCACCTGCCACACAAAGTAACTCATTACAGCACAGAAAAGGGAAAAAACACGAAATAGAAAAAGGCTTCACTTGTGGAAAAGGGTTTTCCTTCAGGTCTTTTGCAAATGAATTAACTCCTGTGAATCTCAGCTGGCTCATGTGCATACACATAGAAATTACTCGTGGAATTTCAATCACATACTCTAAGAAACAAGGCTAAGGTAGAAAAAGGCAAACACTAACTCCCATGTTAGGTGCACTTGGTTTTGATACATACAGTTACAAGAGAGTCGCCTTTATTTGTTTCATATAATGGTGAGAAATGTATCTCCAAGAAAGGCAAACATGGGACAGTCGCATACAAACAATATTGTGTATTATGACTACAATAAATTTCTTGTGGGACTTGGCATTTCCTCAAGAGAAGCCCAGTTCTTGCAGCACACACGTAATGTTATGAAAATGATACTTCTATATTCACAAACCACAGTTAGGGGAAAATACTAGACACATGTTAGACAACAAAACTACAATGGTGGTACCTCGGTACAGATGTACTAAACTAACAGAGAACGTTGTGCCACTTACTAGCAGGAGGAATTAAAGACCTACTCTGGAGATCTAGATGAAGCAGCTGCACCATTCCCTCCTCTCTCCACTGGCCTCAAGGGGACTCCACGTGTGACCCAAGAGGAGAATGGGGATTGCTCTCCTTTGGGGCTAAGCATGTTATGGGCATCCTGCTGTGTCTCATGCTGGACTTCAGATAATGACAAATCACATTTAGGGTTTCTGGTGTGACTGAGCCTAAGCCAGGATTAGCAAACTTGGCCTAAGTAGTTGGAAGCAAAACGACTCATCTGCCCACCTGAGCCACAAAGGCCCCCAGGCCTCCATTCTTAGCATCATCCGACCACCTCACATGTGAAGGTACCAGGCTAAGATAAAACATATCTGTTAATACACCCTAACCTCCTTTCTTCATCCCTGTTTTTTTTAGCTGGAATTATTTCCAATTTGAACCCTATTTCCCAACTACACTTGCATCACAACTCGTCATACCACCAAAACTGATGCATGGGTGAGGAAGCAACTCCAACCTGTTCTCCCAACAAGCTCTCTAAGCAAGTCAGTCAGCACATACACGGATCCTCAAAGCATCTGCACAAAACCTGCTAGCCTTAGGGGAACCACTAACTGGCTAAGACCCCCCATTCCCCCAACCCAATCATTACAACAGCTTTTAAATCAAGACCACTCGACACACTTCAGCAACGTGCAGGATTTAAGCATGGTTTAATAAAAGACTAAAGAACAGGGGTGGGTGGTTGTGGTTTTCCTGCTGTTGGTTTTTTGTTTGTTTGCTGTTTTCTTTATAAACCTACCCTATTATAAAAGCTTAGCAGCACCAAACATGCAGCAATTAAGACTGGCACATTGCTGGCTGTTTAACTGCACAGAAGGAGCAGAGCAGCTATGTATATACTTTCATTCCCAAACTGGATTTCAGATTTTGCCTCTGAAGATCAAGTGGCAGATAAATATACATTTATCATCAGGGCACTTGAAAAGAATCGTTAAAACCAAGCATCAAACTTTTAAAGGGAACTAGTCTCAGCTCTCAGGAACTCAATTTCTATTAACCAGATCATTATTTCTATACATTAATTAATTGTATACGCTTCATAATGAAGTGGTAAAGATGAAGAATTACTTAATATACAGCTCTCCAGAGAGGCTCTTTAAAGCTGTAAGTAACAATGGGAACACGGTATATGTACGTGATGGAAGAGTGAAAGTTCTGGGTAATTGCCATTTCCTATTTCTTTTCTTTTCCAGCACTGAAAGCTCACACAGCTAATTATAAAACCCCACCAACTGCATACAGTTGAGAGCCGACTCATTATTCCCTCTTGTCAATGGGATGCCTTTCAAGTCTCCCTGGATGTTCAAACAGTCCTCCGACACATAAAGGAGGAACAGGCGAGGTGAAATGAAAAGCTGAAGCAGAGCACTGAAAAAAAACCAAAACTGAAACCCCCCATGGATGTCACATTAAACTGCACATCCGCAGATCACAAGTGTGAGCACGAAGAGGTTTATTCTTGAGAGCCACCTCATGGTCACCAGCAATTCCGTTTGTGGGAGTAGCTTTGAGAAACGTTCCCTATTTAACAAAGATAGTTACCCAACGGCACTCCTCCTATAGGAATCCACACTGAGTGACCTGCTTGGACACCTTGCTTTCCCCACAACACTATGTGGAGCTCAGTACAATGACAGTGTGTTTTTAATGGCCAGTATTGAAGTCAAATCCTGACATGCTGCACCACTTCACCACGGTCTGTTGTGCTGGAAGAGCAGTGCCGCACTCAACGAGCATACAGGCAATTTGAATCTATTCCAGTGGCTTCTCCACCCTTAAAAGCTGAGTGTGCTTCTTATCTAGAATATGCACTAGTTCCTTACATGTCTTCATGAATTTATTCATTGATTTTTGTTTGGGTTTAGATATTTCAGGATAAATCACTTCAATCTAATAACCCCTCCAACCAAAGTGTTTAAAAGACTACCCTGCATTTCCCATCTGTGCTAAGCATTTCAAATCCCATCTGAAGATCCAGGAATGTAACAGCAGACTCTCACTCATCCCCAAATAAGATTTTATGCAAATCGGAGATCAAAGCAGGATGCATCCCTACTAACTTACGTTTCTACACCATTAAAGAGCCCTTATCGTGAGCACATCATAACATTAGGTACTACACAGGACAGAGATTGAGAAAACCTACCTCAATACCAAGAACTTACACAAACAAAAGTATAATTAGTTTAGGATATACAGATTTCTGCCAGCATATAAACCCAAGGCTATGTGTTTGCCCTGCAGATATCTGTGGTCATAAGATTAAGGCAAACAATAGACTGATCCTGCCTGAGATTTGATGAGCCCTGACGTGACCCGTCCAGGTTGGGCAAGGAAAAGCAGTGCAAGGGCAGTGATTTTGGGATGGTTTGGCTTGGACAGCACTGCACTTAGTTGTTTTCCTACAAATCCATGTTTGGAGTTTGTAAAGCATCACAGGGCCATTGGGAAAGAGGAATTACAGAGATCAGCCAGTTCAAATACTGAACTTACCACAACCCGTCAAAGAAGTCAAGAAGTCTCCCCTGGCTACCAAATCCCACTCTGTTTTTCAAATAGCTGTATATATGTTGGAACCAAAAAATACTGTCTAAACTGACAACACTGAAACAAAGAAATGACCTTCTTAATTGAAAGAGTGAGCTCAAAAACCCCACAGCACCAGTCCCGAGGGAGGCAGCTTTGTTCTAGTCCCATCAGTACTATGACACATGCAGCTTTTTAATGAGGGAATTTCTCAACTCCCACATGTACCTGCCAAAGGAGGTCACTGATAAGAGGAAGACTGGCAGCCTGGACCACAGTTCTGGAGGATGAAGAGATTTTGCTCCTGCTATGACCTAAAAGACACATCGGAGCACAAGGATGCTGCAGCGCAAGGCGAGCAAGTCAGCACTGGAGCTACGTTTACTTGCAGCCCCAACCCCACCTCTAAAGCTATCTAAAAGGACATGCCAGTGAATACCTAAATAACTCCAGAGCCAGCCAGATGGAGCTGGAAATGGTTTTCATGACATGTCACAGCAATTCTGTAAAAGCAAATCACTCACTGTGCGTGGAAGCTTTCATCTGGGAGGATTTTAGGAGGTGGTTTATTTCTCTAAAACTCCACATTATTCCTGGTTTTCCAGGCCAAGATCATTACCAATTCACACAGGGTTGTTTACAGACATGTACAAAAGGAAGGCAAATACTACTTCTGCATATGAACCACACACAATACCCACCAGGAGATAAGAGAGAGCTGCTTCCGATGCAATCCCTAAACCCACTGTATGTGCATTCGGCCAGATTCCAACTATAAACTGCTCCCCATAAAAATACAGCTTTGATCAATATAAAACTAAATAAACCCCATGCACCAGCGATTTACAACCACAGCCAAAGACCCAGCACACGTCAGAAGACCAGGCTGAGGGAATCAACAAAAGCTCCCTAATCTCATTTCTATGCACGTCATTCTACGGAGGGCAGCGCTGTGAATCGGCAGCAGTACGAAGCTGTCCTTCAGGGGAAACAGATACTGATTTTACAGACCACACACCTCTGTAATCAAAGGTGCTCTGTATCGTGCAAGCTTTCTGTCACACAGGGAATTCCATGAAGAAAGGTTTTCATCCGGCTCTGGAAGCCCAGCCGCCCTTCCCCTGCCTGAGAGCTGCTCCCCTGCGTAATTGCTCGCTGAAGCAGCGGCTGATTTTCATGCTGTATCCCCAGGCTCGACTGCATTCACCAGGCTCTTTATGCGAGCAAATTGCCACGGGGATGAAGTTAGTTGGCCATATGAGAAAGATAAATTTGGGGGGCTGGCCACATGACAAAGCCATGCAGCAGCTGAATGTCTCCCATAACCAGGGGGCAGGGCAGACAGGAGAGGAGAGGCAGGAGATAAGGCTGAAGCAGCCATAAAAGCCTTTATTTTCTATTCCCAATGAGAGATGAATTTTGACCACAGCGGTTCCTTGTCTTACACTCACCCATTCTCTCCTTTTTTTCCCCTGTAAGATAGAAAAGACAGTGCTGCAAATCTGGCTCCTATTCTGGGAAGCATGTGAAAAAGTCATTTATTCCCTCTGTTCACACATACCTCATTCCAGGACAAATTTGGGAAAATGGTTGAAAAGATGAGAAAACAAATATGCTCACAAGACCTTCCGCAACCAAGCAGAAGCACTGCAGAATGATAACTGCAACAATGCACGTGGTGCAGCTCATTGCTACCACAAAGGTGTATTTAGATAAGGGACTTGGAAAAAGGCTTTTCCCAGCATTTCCCAAGCAGCACATTATTACACAAGAAGCATTTAAACTCAGTTTCCACCAAATCTGTGTGCTGGGCTGCACCCCTACAGCGTGAGCAGCAGGTCAGGGAGGGGA